TCCTGGAGAGACAACTGGGCTCTTTGGCAGGTGGATATTATGTATACTTCAAGATCACGGACTCTTTCAGCTTCCAGAAGTTTTGGTCTGTGAATTTCATCAGTCCCACCTAGCATGACTAATGGGAAAGGTTTTTTGGGACTGTCATTCAAAGCATTAGTAGGGCCAGACATTATCCAAGATTGGCTTATGTGACTTAAAAGCAAGCCATGCTGATCTTGTGTGCCTTCAAATCATTTCCAGTTTATGGCGGCCCTAAGGTAAGCTTATCATGAGAAATATTTGTTCAGAGGAGGGTTGTCTTTGCCTTCCTCTGAAGCTGAGAGAGTGTGATTTGCCCAAAGTCACCTAGTGGGTTTCGATGACTGAGCAAGGATTCAAACCCTGGTCTCCAGAGTCATAGACCAATACTCAAACCACTACATTGTGCTGGCTCGCATATATGATTTAAAAACAGAACTTTAATGTGGCTTGCATGGTTTAGAAGCAGAGCTCAGAAAAGATACTTTTGGACTCCAATAACAATAGCAGCTTCATTTATATACCACTTCATACTGTGCTATGCAGTCTCTAAGCGGTTTACAGCACAATTCCCAAGATCCGTCAGTCAGCTTAGTCACTGATCCAGCTGGGAGTTGTACTTCTCCTAAAAATAACTTTCTGAGGTTCTTAATTTTGGATAAGTCAACCCTGCCTCAGACTTTCAACATTTACATAGTTCAGGAAACACTGTAACATCTGCATCTCAAGGCTGCAGGAACATGTTACACTTCTGTGAAGAAAGCTGCATTTCATGGCGATCACCTGATGAAAATACCCCTATTTCCAACCTCTTAGCTATGTTTAGCATATTTTATTATATTAATTACATACCATGGAAACCAGTCTGCACCCAGTTATTAACTTTTACAAGAACAGAGAGTTATTTTAAAGCAGGATATGGGATAATTCCACATTATGTGTCAACGTGGTCACTCTCACTTTTGCAAGTAAGAGTGCAAGAACAGGCATACAACATCAATGTCCATTTTAAAATACTGTCTTGACATGGAACTAGTTGAATTTTTAAAGCAGGGGCCATATTTGGAAAGGGTCGAAAGATCACTACCTGGTTCATTTCACCAAAAAGTTTAACATAAGCTTAGACATTGAATCATAATTTAGAACTCACACTAGGGGTCGAGCTTCCAAATGTGCAAGAGGAAAACTATTATTTGTTCTTATTTCATTCTTTTAGGTTACAACATTACTTGGGAATAAGTAGCACTGAATCCATGGGGCTCACTTTTGAGTAGATATGGAAAGGATGACACTGTTAGCTCAATACTTCTCCATCAATCTCCTTAACTTTCCTCCAGCATCCCTTTGGGCTTTCTATGCTGAGCGAGAACAAACCTGCCATTCATTTCACTGGGTTATACTTGTCCTGAATGCCTCAATATTATCCTAGTGGGGGAAATGGATATAATAATGTAGTAATGGATTTGTGAAAATTGAACATCACCTACTTTTCATTTAACTAATCTGACCATCTTTATACTCAAGCCATCCCAAATCCAAAATTTTGGTCATGGACCAGTAAGCCTCCCAGGTTTATAGTCTGGAGCAAGGCTGATGGCTGTAGATTTGATCAATCAGATTATCACCACCAAACCAGAGTTTAACCAAACCATGATTTGCAAATACATTTCAAACTCTGGGTTGTGTAGGATCCAAAGATGAAAACTGGGACACATGTAGATCAAAGTGTGGTCAAAATGGCAAAGGTTGTTAATGAGGAAGAACTCACAAACTAGGAGCACTTTGTTTTTGCCTGAGTCTACTGGAAAGGGCAAGATTCTGTCCCTTCCTTTCCTCTCCTCTGGATAACTGAGACCAAACTACTTTAGGGCTTTGAACTCAGTTTGCAGCAACTGAAGTGCTCTAAGGACAAAGGGGGAAAGTGAGAGGAGGAGAGAGAAACTGGGACATTTAAAAAGCAGTTGAATAAAATGGGATGACATAGGATTAATCCGGAGTCTTCTTGCCAGTCTTTTTCATTCATTTTTCTGAATGTATCCACTTTTTCTCCAATTACTAAAATGTGTTTGTGTAAATTTTCTCAAGAAACACTTTTGATGGGCGAGCTTTTGTTAGTATAAAATTG